GTAGATCTTATGAGGCTTACAACATGTTGCTGAGAGAAATATCTTGAATTGGTTGTTTGTCAGTATATCAGCAATAGGGTTATTGAACCTTTGTAATGCTGGTTCTCCAGTTGTTCAGTGCTCCTTTAGCTTAAGTTTCATATGGGCAATCACCAAGTGGTGGTTTGAAGCTATGTCAGCTGCACTCCTGTTTCTCATGTCTTCTATTGACCTTCTCAATTTTTTACTGATGCAAATATGAACGATCTAGTACTCTACAGTTTGATCTGGTGAGACCCATGTAGCTTTGTGCATGGCTTTGTGTGGGAATTTTGTGCCGTCTATAACCATTTTGTTAAAGGCCAACAAATTTGCAAATCTATCAACATTTTCGTTCCTTTCTCCCAGTCCATGTCATTTTCATACTCAATGTCGTCTCCCATCAGGATGGTCAGGTCTTTTCCTAGTCACTTTTTCACAGTCGATTGTGCTCTTTCTCGTCTTCATTGACATCATTGGTGGGTGTATAACATTAAATAACAGTCATTAGAACTCCTTCCTCGATTGTTTTGAAGGATGCTTTGATGATTCTGGATCCGTGAGATTCTCATCCTATAAGTACTTTACATGTTTTTTTGGGAAGCAGCATGGCGACTCCCTGAGTGTGCTCACCATTCTCATTTTCGGGAGCAAGGTACAGCAGGATCTCTCATGAATCTAACCTTTACTGTCCATCATAGATTTAATGTATTTCACTGATTATGATCAATGCTAAGTTGTAACCGCTCATTTCCGTAGCTATTTGATTGGTCCTCTCAGTTTCCTATACCGTCCGAACATTCCGTATACCTACATTAATTGTTGCTGTGATTGTTAGAAGAGGCATCGTCCCCGTGACGTCCGAAGAATCTGGGCTTTCACCATGAGGCGTCATAATTCTCCTGAATGAGGATCCTTAAGCTACCTGGACAGAGTTTAAATGCTTAAAGTTGTTTATTCTGGTTAGCGTTTTTTAAGAACGCCGTTTTCTAAGGGATTTGTTTGCCGCGCCCAACCTTCATCATTTACCTAGGCTTGGGACCAGCAATAACCCCAGGAAAGCTACAACCGGAGCTTTTCAGTGCATATATGTCCATATATCTTGTTATTCGTCTATCTGGATATATAAATTGAGTAACTGGATTACTTTGGTTCAGATCAGTAGTTCAAATCACACGCATTCACTACTACTTCAAATTCATAAACTATGTATATCCAAATAATATCCCATATTTGACTTTTAATACTGAATTGCATTAACATCGAAAGTCAACATGGATACACAAAATTAATTATATCAGATCTTTAGAAGCACGACTAGCTTTGTAAATGAAACTCAAAAATACAGATCCTGAATATGATCATGGGCAGAGATATGGTTATCACTGTCTTTCTTTGGGATTACGTGTTTTTGTAAGCTTTTATTAATTGGTGTAGTGTGTGTTATTGTTATGACGGGATGAAAAGTCAAAATTAGATTGATTACTCATTATGATTTTTACTCAACATTAATTCCGTTTATTTCAATTTAATGATTACTCAGTATAGTATTTGTTTCCCTTTCCCATATGACATACGATATTCTTGCGTGAAATAATTTTCATATATGTAATTTATTCTTAATATTATCCAAAAATGGGTGTACAAATTAGTGTATTTCCGACTAGACTGATTGTTCGTGCCTCTGGTTGCTTGCGGAATATATTTCCCCGTTCGAACTTGGACTTCTCTTTCTAGTTAACGGGGCTGGGATGCATCAAAATAGTTTGCTTATTTGACTTTGGTCGCAGAGTCCTTGTTCCGTTCGCAGACTAGGTGAACTCGTAATCACTTCAAACATAACAGCTATCAGAAATTATTTTTATTTAGTCAGATCATATTTGTTAATCCTGGAGTACAAAATGTGCATTTCGTTTTGGAAATTCAGACTCCAGCTTGAAAGAACCATTATTTGACAAAATTGTAAAATGTTCAATCGTTCATGAATAAACAATTCTCACCATCAGAATTTCATTGATAGTTAGTCGATGAATTGTTTAACGCACTAAAAAAGGCAGAAGTAGCAATGTCAAATAGCATAAACGAACTAGTAATTTCCAGGTCTGTCCAAAATATACTCTAGTAGTCACAAATGGACTGGCACTAAAGTAAGAAATAAGATCGTATGCATTTGTGAATATACTGTATTAAAATTAGAATTACGCGTGCAAAATTTACAAACCAGTCATCATTATATGAAAACATTACTAATTAGGTTGAAACAGTTATTTAAAAGAAAACAACTATGTTCAAGGTTAACATTTAAAATATTCTACTTATCATATTGATAATCATAAATTAAACACTGCCTTTTTATTAATTAAACTTCTCACTTAAATGAATTTACGAAGAAATGGAATTCAATGTATTTAGTGAAGTAGATTACTTTTACATTTATCTTTATTTGCTTAGAGTCTTCATTTGTAATCTATTCTTCTTTATTAGGGTGTCAACATAATTGAAACTTTATATTTATGTGCTTGAAGAATTTCTGAGTATTAGATTAATATTCTATCAGTCCACTCTGAATGTTCAAGCTTGATTCATATGAATTCGGTATGCTGCCAAATAAGATAAAATCCTTTATTTCAAAGTACATGTCTGCTTTATCATCATTAATTTATAGGTATTATCTGTAACATTCATTAACAGATTTTAGATAATTATTTGTCTACTGGATAAAGATATTCCTGAGAAAAAATTAACTTTCTGGTAAATGAAAACAACTTTTAAAAAAGTTTATTACTCAAATTTCTGGAGGAAATCTCACTGAAGTTCAGTGTAACGTGATTACCAAACCTAACTGTAAACAATGTTGAAATCTCATCCAACATAATTCGAAAAACTAATAAAATTAAATGATGATTCATTGAACCATTACATATTTATATTCTGATGGAATTAGATAAAGTAATTCGAACATGTTACCTATGAGTTAGTGATTTCTTGAGATACATCAATGATGAGTTTAAAAAATATATGACTAAATAATTTTTTTAAATCAGGAAATACACGTTTCCTAATGAAAGAGAAAATGAACGGTCCCGTTATGTCCCGAAAAACATAATGAATGGTAACTTTTGGGATCCGTTTATGGGCCAATAATGTGCGTATATTTTTATCGTATAATTGTCAAATAACTGCACTATAAATATTCATGTCCCTCTTATTATGAGCTTTATTTTGACCTATGAACTATTAATATACGATTTACCATTCTTGAATTATGCCCTGTCTATTAATTACTACCTCCCTCATTTACAGCCACATTTGGCAAATTCTTGTACAAATGTTTCATATTTTATGGTACGATGTGGTTTGTCTGGTTGGTATATAAAAACAGTATGTTTGAAATAAATTATTCGTATCGAAGAGGCTAAGATTGGTGTTCTGGACTTAACTGGCTGGACTAGGCAGAATACAGGACCGATAGGTACTCTAGACTGCTCGTACGGGTTTTACCCGTCATTCCTCTGATCGATAATTCACTGTTCTCTAATTGATGGTACCATTACGTTATACATTAGCAGGGCAATCAGGTCACAAGTTATAACAGGTCCTTACACTTTAATTTTCTTAATTTGAATGTTCTTGTATGGAACTGACATAATCAAAATATAATGTTTAGAACTTACAAAACTTAAAGTTTAAATCATGGCACAACAATTCTAAATGACTACTGAAGAATAGTGTTTTTTACATCTTTTATAAAAAAGGTTTGGTCAATACGCAGAAGTTATCAAAAATTTGGTTCTTGGTTAACAGTAAATATAGAATCTCAAATGCACTACATTATTTTGTTGTCAACAAATTCATTCTAATTGTTGCGACCTCTACTTGATTACGGCAGTATATGATATACAACTAACGGCACTCGGACGTATAAAACCCCAAAGTCGCAGATCAGAAGACGGGAGAAACAGGAGAAGTGATCATTGAGTAAGAAATAAAATCCGTAAGGAAAGCATGGGTTTTTGTAGTTATTAGTATTGGTTGTAACATCAATATTACAGCCTCCACAAGGAGGCATCCCGGAAAGTTCTATCAGTTTTTAATTAGATAGAACCTCTTTGGCTCTTTTAAAACCTCCAGAGGCCTTGTCGTGCTTCTCGAAGCCGTCCCAACACTAATATACAAATCTAAAAAAGTAACATTTGTAAAATTTACTTTTGTGAACTGCAAATTTTCCTTATTATTCGTCTAAAAGTGGAAAAAACATTTTCATTTAGTATCAAAGAAAGGCTTAATAAAGTATTAATCAATAAGGAGAAGCACTTAGAGAACACTGAAATGCTACTCGATTATATACACGTACATTAGAAAACAACCATAGAAAAGACAACCAATATTAACAAATAAATTTAGAAATTTCACTAGTTGAAATGATGAGTCAATTGAAGCTGGACCACTATGGAAAACCTGGAAGCACTGGACGGCCGTTTCGCCCTAGTATGGGACTCCTCAGCAGTGCGCATCCATGATCCGGCCTTCCGAGACATTCGAACGCAGGACCTATCAGTCCCGCGCACGAGCGATCCACGAAGTTGTGCCACCGTACACCATTGTCTTCAGTGAGTTGATATCTCCACTAACTCCACTAATAACGGCTTCTCACTAGAACTCCAGGAGTCTCTTGAAGTCAGTCACTAGTGAACAGATGATTATTATCAGAAGGGGTTTCGTGGAGATTTGTTTCTGATAACAATCATCTGCTCACTATTGACTGACTTCAAGAGACAATGGTCTACGGTGGCGCAATTTCGTGGATTGGTTGAAGTTAGACATTAACACCGTTGGATGCCGGCTCAGTGGTCTAATGATCAAGCACTCGCACGCGAGACCGATAGGTCCTTGATCCGAATCTTGTGGGGGCGGGATCATGGATGCGCCCATACTAGGACGAAATGGCCGTCCAGTGCTTCCAGGTTTTCCATGGTGGTCTAGCTTCAAATGACTCATGATTTCAACTAGTGAAATGACTAAAATCTCCACAAAACCTCTCCTGAAAATAAATTTAGGCAAAAATGAAACAAATGAAATTGACTTAAACTGTTTAAATTGATCTTCGTTATTTGAACTAATCAGTGAAAGAGTGGAAAAAAGAACCCATTGCTCGAGCGAATTTTGAAGAAGAAGAAGAAGAAGAAGGCATATTCGACCTTTCAAAAGCTTGAAGGTAAACTAAACAGACTGTCAGTTCGGTCGGTTTCGTTCACATCAAGAATGACTCGAAGATCGAAACTTGACTAGAGATTGCTTGGATTTAGAGTAGTATAAATTTTGAATAATTTATCCCCTCTCCGTTAAAAAGATGGAGGACATATTAATAAAGTTAAAAAGAATCAACTGCAGTTAGAGAAAAAACTTGAGACAAAAGTGAAATATAACACCACGGAAAAAGCTATTATTTTGATTGCATTTGTTCTAGAAAATGTGATATCCTCATATACAGTTAAAAATATGCTTGCGACCGATAATACATCAACACTCCTCAATAATAATTCTCAAACCATGTTGTTAGGTATGACTAGTGGCAGAATAAGAACAAATTTCGGCAGTCCAGTTCTTTTCGAATTTTGAATGATATCGCCTCTCAAGCAAGATTATTATTATTATTATTATTATATGTATCAAACGATCCTTTTGGAAAGTCGTTAACTTATTGTTTATTTACTTACTGATAATAAACAATAAAAATCTAATTTAAGAAAAGAAATTAATCACACACTAGTGGGAATTTATTCTCTATCCAACCATGGAGTTTAACCTTTATTAATAAAACTAGGTATTATCCGTTGTTATAGTTACCAGATGTTGTTATTAGGCGTTTTAACCAACCGGATTACAGATATGAAATAAAAAGCAGGTGAGAATGCGCATCAGCCTTGGTATATATATATTGTAGGAAAAGCTCAGTGTGAAAAATCCAAGGCTTATACTATCATCTTAAAATCAAGAACATTGAAGACAAATGGAAAATACACCCAAGAACCCAAAAACCACCTTTTTCTTATTCGAGCTGCTGTCAACAATTTGTTCAATGTTAATCATAATTGCCATTGTGATCTGTGAATTATACACATATAACATAAGAATTGTTCCATTGACATTTTATGCAGGTTACTGGACAAGTCCATTTATCTTATTTACTGCCGTAATTTATTCTATTGAAAAAAGTAGACAAGATGGAAAATTTTACAAACTAGCCATATCCTTCGCTTTATTCAGCCTGCTTGTATGCTTAATCGGTATTATGCTTTCGTTATTTACAATATATTGGATTATTGACATCATAGATGCACAAGTTTATTATGAATATCGGGTAGAAATCATTGTTCAAACTGCATTGCTTATTTTGGCTAGTGGAATATGTCTAATGAATGTTTTCTCATTGACATGTTGTTGCTGTTCAAATGTTTCAACCGTATCAAAAGACACAATTACTCACCAAAATAATTTGAGAACTCATTCGAAAAATGCACAACAATTACCAACTCAAATTACTAATGTCACAGATCCTTTACAACTACATTCTTACCCCCAAGGATATCAAGTAAACCAAGGTTATGATCAGAATTATAGTCAACCTAATAACTTCCCACCACCTTATAGTTAATAGCAGGAACCTTAAAATACATTCAGTTATAAAATTCTTTACTGTAAAGTAGAAATTCCACGTGAAGTGGCTTTGAAAATTAATGCACCTGTCGTCGATACTAACTACAAACCTGCACCTCAACATTTGGTATAAAAGAAATTCCCACTCATTCTAATCACTTGTAAAGTAAAATGCTCATATCCTTTCAGATTCAGGTTTTATTTACATAGAAATAGTTAGCCCCGAATAAAATGAGGCTATTTATGAAAAACACTGCACAGACTTGTGTTTGACGAAAGATCTCCATTTTACATAATTGCAGTGTAGCCTTTTGAAAGTTAACTAAACCAAATGTAACTTAAGTAACCCACAACAAATACATACACATTCCGCACAAGATGCCGATACTTCCTTCCTTTCCAAACGGAGTTATTTTCGGAACCGAGACTGAATGACTGAAAACCAAACACCTTAAGCACTAGACTATTACCAACCATTGTCGGTTACTCGAATAATCCTAAGTACTTTGTGTTTCAATAATGACAGTGATGCTTTTTGTTTCTGTAGACTATTTGATTTGATTTCTTTGAAGCGTCGGTTTTGTTTTATTACAAGATGTTTATTATGCATACAACAGTTACAGTTACGATACATACGCCTCAATTTTAAATTTTTCAGGTCTCAACATTCAGACCAATTATTATTAACACCAAACACTCCCCATTGTCTTAACTGACATATAAATACCATAAATACGACAGCGAACTATCAGAGAGCAGCAAAAATGTAAAGGACTGATTTAGTTATGTTCGCTAGCCAAAACAGCTGATCAAACAATATCGCGAATTACATACACATAGTATATTACTGACTAATTACCGAAAATTATATGCGATTAAATTTAACCATTGATGAGATATTTAAGACGACATATACCTCAATATCAGATTTGTCCGCTGTTAATTAGTGGTTGGTGCATGAATAGAACTTCACTCGCAAAATACTTCCTCCCTGAGTCCAATAATATCAATCTGCGATCCGCTGTGACAAGTAACAGATTTTTTATAGTCATAACAACTAGCTATACAAGTAGCAGTATTAGCATTTCACAAAGTTACAACACAAATAGTTAAACCCTTTTCGAGACATTACTGTTCAATAGCACAATGGGGCTATTTTATTTATTACTTTGTGCCTAGCTTCTGGGTACATATTAAAGGTTACAATTTACAATTTACCTTAAACAAGTATGTGACCCACACTTTGTATGATCAACTATAAGCTTAAAAAAGTAGGCTCTTAATTAATACTTTTAATCGACAAAAAGTAACTAAGTTAGAACCACAACTTCATAACAAGCCACGCTATGTGCGCCCATAATCCAAACCAAACTAAAAGTACGTAATGCCTGAGGATACCGAATAATTGAGCGTGTCGATCGCTTCACTTACCTTGGAAGTCTCATCAGCCCTTGTGGTCTGGTCTGTGACGAAATCTCAGCACGGATACAGAAGGCTCGACTAGCTTTTACCAACTTGCGTCATTTATGGCGTAATTAATGGACAGGGCATAATTCAAGAATGGTAAATCGTATATTAATAGTTCATAGGTCAAAATAAAGCTCATAATAAGAGGGACATGAATATTTATAGTGTAGTTACTTGACAATTATGCGATAAAAATATACGCATAGTATTGGTCCATAAATGGATCCCAAAAGTTACCATTCAGTATGCTTATCGGGACATAATAATATAAACGGAATACACCCATTATGACATTAAATAGGAAAGAAAGATTAGTTCAGCGAAGAGTTCTCTTTTCGGCGAATTCATTTTCAAAGCTGTACAATCGCAAATATATATACTTATTTTTACAGGGTGATATGTTATGTTATGTCCCGATAAGCATACTGAATGGTAACTTTTGGGATCCATTTATGGACCAATACTATGCGTATATTTTTATCTTATAATTGTCAAATAACTATGCACATTCGTGTCCCTCTTATTATGAGCTTTATTTTGACCTATGGACTGTTATTATACGATTTACCATTCTTGAATTATGGCCTGTCCATTAATTACTACCTCTTACATTCACAACCACATTTGGCCAAATGTTGTATAAATGTTGTTTCCTATTTATGGCGTAGGCGAGATATCCGTCTATCAACCAAAGGACGTGTTTACTGCGCAGCAGTTCGTTCCGTCCTCCTTTATGGCAGTGAAACATGGCCGGTAAGAGTGGAGGATATTCGTAGGTTACTAGTATTCGATCATAGGTGTCTTCGAAATATTGCTCGTATATCCTGGGACCATCGAGTAAGTTATGCAGTTGTTAGGAAACGGGTACTAGGTAAGGATGGCAAATCCATTGATGACGTAGTGAAACTTCATCAGTTGAGATGGCTTGGACATGTGTTGCGTATGCCCAACCACCGACTGCCTCAACGTGCGATGTTCAGTGGTATAGGAGTAGGTTGGAAGAAAGCTAGAGGCGGCCAGACCAAAACATGACACAAGCCATGAAGTCACTGACAAGTGGACTGAGTCATGTTGGCAGGTGTAGACTACCTGGTTGGGGACCGCGAGATGATAGCAACCGATGGTTAGAGACCCTGAATGACATGGCTCAAAATCGTTTGAGATGGCGCAGGTGCATCCACTCTTTGTGTTCTCCCAAATTTTGATCTCCTTATTCCTTCTTGTCTTTTTATTTTCTCTTTCCAAATTTATTTCACTGTATTATACTCTTTAAATAACATCTCCAAACACTAATCTTCCCGATTAGTACTTATACTCTTATTACCTTTACCACTACGGGATTTGAATCGGCCACTACATCTGTGTGCTAATGTGGTGTGGCAACTCAAACTGATGTACGTACGTACGAAGTTCTACGTTGTTACTGACTGATACGGAATAACTATAAACCGGATTGTATCCAAAAGTTATCGTAACACGTTACATGTTTGGTGAATCATCTTCGTCAAGCTCTCTAGTACACTTAACATAAAAGTACCAATTCAAAATTAAAACATCTGATTACTATTAAGAGCAAATTTACATTTGGAAAAGAAATGAAATGAGTTTATGGGATTCTAAATATTCTAGTAAGTGCTATGGAACCACAAAATATACGTATTATACGGTAGAACAAACGATTTGATATTTTTTAAAAGCGTACTCACTCTTCGTAAGATTAACGGCTAGCCCTATTGATATACTTTAATACACAGGTACAGTGTGTATATTTCTTTTCCCCACGACTCATGTAACCAACTGAAGTTTACTCTCATTTATAGCAAAAAATTTACAAATGTTATCCTTAAATAACTTACGTTTTATGAAGCAATACGTATGTTATCAAAATAATAACATCAGCAAGATAACGAGAACGGAATGAACAAATATTATACATTAGCGCGTAGGTTTAAAGAAGTTACAAAGAAGAATCTAGTCTAGCGGCGTGTGTTCGAATTTTTCCGAAAATTTTGTTCGGCGGAGCACCCAATATCAGATCACATATTGCACGTCGGGCCACTGCTATACGGTCATTGCTTCCTAGAATATGGATGGTTTCATCGGCAACGACTATGCGAGTCCGTGTAGCGTTTTCAATACACATACGAATACGACCTTTAGCACCGCAAATACGCCCCACTGCTCGAGCCATGTGATCACCCTGAAAAACAATTATCAGAAACCGTATTAGAAATGATATTAATCAAACGGTATCGTGTGACACATGCTATATTAAAAGTTTCGGCTTAACACTTCAGGAAATTCGTTATAAACTGAGTTCGGACTCTAACCTGACATTTTTTCAAGCGGATGGTATTACGCATAAAAGTGGTATTTGTTGTTTGGAGTTTTTTCTGTTTACCTTGATTTGAGTAGCCACGGGTTATCACCATCTGTTGCAGGAAAATGGTTCAAAATCAGGCATACGAACTCATACATCGCAAATGAGTTGCATAACCAACTTTCTGAGTCTACAAATTACTACTGACCAGACTTAAAGTTCAACTGCAACGTTTTTAGCCCACTTGTAAACCACAATTTGTGGGAAGCACTAGCATCGATGAACAAACTTTTCTAGTAGAAAACAGGCTGGTTCAATTGCTCTACGACAGGAGAACTATAATGACTTACATTTTAATGATTTTCGACAATTAAGGTCTACATTAAGAGCATGTAGTTCATGTAGTATGTAACCGACGAAAAGTTCGATATTTGTGTCTAATGTTTTCAAAATCTGATGTTCTAAACTAAATTTCGAACGCTTCATTATTAATTTACTTCAATACCACAACGGAATTTTATAAATAAACCAGGAAGTGTACTTGAGACTGGTTTTGAACGAATGATACTGCATACTTTTCAATGACTCATTGTCACTTGAAACTCATAAACGTCAAACTAAGTATACTTTGACCTAACAGTTACTGCATATATGTATTATTTACTAGAATTACGACCTTGACATCCACACTAAAGAAACACTAGCTAAGCTCTGAAAATCCTTATTACTTATGACGGGAGTTGTAATACTATACTTAAGAGAAAAGTCAACCATGGTTGCAGGACTTTAAAACAGTTGTTCGTATCTAAGTTGATGGATGAAAAACGTTAACTTACTCTGAGTGTTTGTTTCACATCCATTATGTGGAATGAATTGACGTAGATACCATCTATTCTGACCACAGCTAATGCGTCTTCGTACTTAAAGCCTTTCAGAAAAGCGCTCACGAAGTCACAACCCTTCTGTAAGTGCTGGGCATCTCTTGTTTCTGAAGATGGTTTGATAAATACTTTCCATAATTTCTTATCTGTTTTCATGCATACCATAAGTTTGAGCTGCTTTGTTAACACCTACTAGAAACTTTAGACAACATACAGATTTTTACCTCAACAATTGAAGGCCACGAATTGCGGATTGGTGTCCTGCGGTTTTTAGGGACAATCAAGGTCCTAATTTCACCAAGTTTGTTCTCCGGGGCTGTCATGTGCAAATTTACAAACTGAGCGCCTGAGGTCATTAGGCATTGGCAAAGATCACATGCTATAAAATGACTGTGTGTAAAATCTTTCACCACGTTAAACATCTTTGCTAAAATCTCGGTGCTCGAACCCCTTCTGTATAAATCCATTCTGAATCAAACTTCCCATAATAAAATCGCTTGATGACATCTTTCGGGACGGTCAAGAAGTTAAGCCATTAGTTTCCGCGCACATGTTGCATGTTGTCGATATTTCTGAATGTCGTTGTTTATCAGCCATTAACAGCATTTTTCCGTCACACGTCAATTTTCGTAACGTTTGTGCTAGTTACATAGCACTTGTTCTATATATTGGCAGTTAGACATTTGTTTTTTTTAGACAGCCTAATGTGGTTATTTGTGACAATGCAAACTCAAGTAAATGAATTCACCATTTGTCAAGTCAAACATAGACTGCAATCAGAGTTTTAGGAAAAAATGAGCCCTGAACCCTTTTACATTTGATTCACATCCCTATTTGTGATGATGAACATGAATGTTGGTAGTTGTTTATAAAACGTAAGTTGAAGCAATTAGACTTTTCACTAACTTTGAATATCATATGATATGTTAATATACAGACATAAACAGTTCTATCCATTTTAACTATCATCATTTTAAACTGAATTGACATGTTATTATACAAGGTTTCTGAGAAAACTCCAGCTGGCGCCTCTCTGAGGCTACTGCGGGTAACAGGCGCGGATAACAGAGAGGGGTTGGGCAAAAGATTAGCGACTTCGTCCTGCAGAAAGCTAATTTGCTAAAAAAACGCCGACCAGAAAAAATTATTCAGATCCTTTAAACTCTGCCATGGGAGCCAGAAGGTTTTCATTTAGAAGAGTTATGACGCCTCATGGTGAAAACCGAGTTTCTTCGGAAGCCGTGAGGTTGATACTTCTGACAACTAAAGCAACCATTTATTTAGGTACATGGAATACTCTACAATGTAGAAGAACGGGAGAGTCCTACAAGCTGCTGCAGAGATGAAGAGATCAACCTGGAGGTGAAAGTCATTATACGAAAGTTGGACAAAAACGAATATCTTCAGGGGAGCTTCTGTTATACTCCGGCCATGATGAAGAAAATGCCCCACGTACACAAGGAGTTGCATTGATGCTGTCCAAACAAGCACAAAATGCACTTACAAGATGGGAATCTCATGGACCAAGGATCATCAAAGCCTCCTTCATAACAAAGAAAGAGGGCATTACAATGAACGTCATCCAATGCCTACCAACGACTACAATGAAGACGCTAAAGACCAATTCTACGACAGACTGCAGACACTCGTCGAGAAGTGCTCAACAAATGACTCGACCATTCTGATGGGAGATTTAAATGCCAAGGTTGGAATGGACAACAACGGATATGAAGACATCATGGGACTGGGAGGAAGGAACGAAGATGGCGAGAGATTTGCAAACCTATGTGTCTTCAATCAACTGGTCATAGGCGGCACTATATTCCTGCACAAACGCATTCAAAAAACCACATGAACTTCACCGGATCACACTAGGCAGAACCAAATCGACAATATCTGCATCAGCACATAGTTCAGGAGGACGATGGAGGAAGCGAGAACCAAGAGAGGAGCTGATATAGCATCAGATCATCACTTGCTGGTCGCCAAGATGAAATTGAAACTCAACAAGCACCAGACAACATTACAGCAGAGGCACTGAAAGCAGATGTAGCAGTAACTGCAAAAAAATGAAAATTCTCTTCAGCAAGATTCGGGATGAAGAACAAGTACCAACAGCCTGGAAAGAACTTCTGAAGAAAATACTAAAGAAAGGCGATCTCGGCAACTGTGGTGACTACAGGGGCATCACTCTTCTCTCAGTACCAGGAAAAGTCTTCAACAGGGTATTGTTAAACAATGAATTACTTCGTAGACGCCCAACTTCGAGACCAACAGGCAGGATTCCGTAAGGATAGATCGTGTACAGACCAAATCGCAACACTACGGATCATTATGGAACAATCGATTTGGTGGAATTCATTACTCGACATCAACTTCATTGACTACGAGAAAGCATTTGATAGCGTGGACAGAACAACACTATGGAAGCTTCTTCAATACTACGGTGTACCTGGGAAGATAGTCAACATCATACGGAATTCCTGTGATGGATTAAACTGCAAAATCGTGCATGGAGGACAATTGACAGACTCGTTCGAAATAAAGACCGGTGTCAGTCAAGGTTGCTTACTCTCACCCTTTCTTTCTCCTGGTGATTGACTGAATTATAAAGACGTCAAAATCTGTAGGAGGAAGCATGGGATACAGGGGATATCTAGGATGCAGTTGGACGATCTAGACTTCGCAGATAATCTGGCTCTTCTATCGCAAACGTAACAACAAATATAGGAGAAAACGACGAGTGTAGCAGCAGCCTCAGCAGCAGTAGGTCTCAATATACACAAAGGGAAAAGCAAGATTCTCCGATACAACACAGCATGTACCAATCCAATCACAATTGACGGAGAAGATTTGGAAGATGTAAATACCTTTACGTATTTGGGCAGCATCATTGATGAACAGGGTGGATCTGATGCAGATGTGAAGGCGCGGATCGGTAAAGCAAGAGCAGCATATTTACAACTGAGAAACATCTGGAACTCAAGACAACTGTCAACCAACACCAAGGTCAGGATTTTCAATACAAATGTCAAGACAGTTCTACTGTATGGGGCGGAAACCTGGAGAACTACGAAAGCCATTGTCCAGAAGATACAAGTGTTTATTTACAGTTGTCTACGCGAACTACTCTGGATCCGTTGGCCAGACGTTATCAGCAACAACCCACTATAGGAGAGAACAAACCAGATCCTATCAGAGGAAGAATTCAGAAAGAAGTGTTGGAAGTGGATAGGACACACATTGAGGAAAGCAGTCAACTGCGTCACAAAGCAAGCCCTCACGTGGAATCCTCAAGGCCTGTATATGGAAGATTGTGTGAAGAAACAATCTACAAGCTGACAACTGTGTTTTATATTGACTACTCACACGTTTATTCATCTAATGGATTACTTGAATATGAATATACTCAGTTTTTTGCACCATAAATATGTATAATTGTAGTCTCATTCTATACTACTACTACTTTAATAATAGAGCTAATCCCAAAACGGTGAATTTGTCATGATGTGATTGTCTAATCTGTAATATCTTACTGTCTACACTGACTCATCGTATCGTGACAATTATCAATGATACTTAGTACTTCTGAAGGACTCATTGGGCCTGGGGATAGAATAATATATTTAATATGAATATTAATAAGTTACACATAATGACCACTTCTGCATATTTGGCCATGCCATCCTATTAAATGAATGTCTCCACGCCCAATACTGCAGACCTTCTCCATGAGTTAAATGACTAATATACATCATTTCAGTCATTATATGCTTGGTTTGGAAGATCGTGTGATCAGGAAACAATTCCACTACAGGTATCCATCCGAATATACTGTCATAGTGAGGGAAATTAAATATACAAGGCAACATTCTAGCGAAACTTCCAAACTGATCCAGTACTACAAGTTCTCTTAAAAAACGGGTACTTATAAAGCGAACACTTAGTAGTTCTTAATTTTCACAAACATTCACCCATTAAGATAATTGGTACATCTCCCATGAAACTACGACGAAGACGGGCTAAAGATCGGCTAAAGTTTATCGGTGCATCATCACTACTTTTACTTTGTGACCACCCATAATACACAAATAATGACGCATGTTGCTGCTAGGTTTATCTCTATGACTTTAAACACTCTGCCACCAGACAAACTAAAGAGATGCATAATATTTGTTTGTGTTAGAAAGCAATGTGCTCAATGTAGCCAGTGAAAATAAGCCGTCTAAGAATTATCTCTCAGTTAACGCTTTGGAAACAGAGAACACTAGGAGAGACATTACAGAAAGGTATAGAAAGCCGACACAGTATCATACTAAATGATGAATTACATATCACTGTTCAAAAAATTGTTTCGCAACATTTCTTGTAAAGTAATGGGAATATTCGGAAATTCAAGTTATTGAATACCGATGAAACTCATTTTCAGCATCTAAAAGAGAAATGCACATTTTTAGTGACGAGAATATTCATTTACACTTTTTAACGACAAAATATAGGTCAAATTTTAATTTATATATAATCCTTTATATGTAATCATGTTCATATTCAATATCTACTGTTTCTCTGTATCACTGGTAAAGGAACGGATATAACTGCTTGGTTGCACACTATCGCGATTGTTAAAAATAAACGCCATTTCAACCTTCTAGTCTACTGCTTCATTGACCACGGCCTTTGATTGAAGAACGTGACAGTATTACAACATATTTTAGGTCATTTCACACTGAGCTGGGGTTTTGTCCTAGATCATCGCTAGATAATACTATTGGATTTAATCTTTCTCACAAAGCCTTTGGCGCCACTACTTATAAACATTGTTGATCAGTTGTCGGTTGTTAACTCAGAAGCAGCTTACAAGTGACCTTCACTTCATAAAAATTTTAATCATCTTGTTATTTAATATACCATTTATATTGTTACTGCAAAATGTTACCGTTTTGCTTCACCTATAAACAGACACTTCGGTTTGTACGATCGATTCTTTTTGGTATATGATTGGTAACTTTGTGAATTGTAATATCTTCAATAAGCTCTATTGCTCGGATCCACCAGAAGTAGTGGAAACTAAAGATTACTGGTAAATAATGTATCTTAGAAAGCATTACCTACATACGTGGGTTGTTTGAGCTTAGGACTGAATATTTATGTATTCCTGTATTCATAGTGGTAGATGGCGATTCTGATACGGTCTTGTTATTATCAAGCCTTTGTAATGAAACATTCACTAGATGCAAAAATTTCTCAAGAGTCGACAAATAATATTCATAACCATCCTGATACCAAGACTTCTTAAAAATAAAACTTACAGATGAACTTGATCCAGAGGAAACAGTGGGATTTGACAATATGCAAATTAAGCTTATACAAAGGAGCTCCAGTTGTAACCTTTATATGTTACGGTTGATGCTGAGTCGGATAAAGGAGGAAAGTTGGGGGATGGGGTCAGAAACCTCAGACATCAAAAGAATGAATAGCAACTGAAAACAAATGGAAAAGATTGCCCATGACATAGATTATATGTGTTGTTCTAATTTTCACAATGAGAATCTTTAATATTCATGACATAGATGTAGAATCCACGCGGACGGTCTATGTTCCTTCACGAGGGAT